TGTGTGTGTGTGTGTGTGTGTGTGTGTGTGTGTGTGTGTGTGTGTGTGTGTGTGTGTGTGTGTGCGTGCGCGTGCGTCTGTAACACAAAATCAAAACAACACAACAGTCAAAACTTCTAGGGAGATATCCCAGGCGCCCGGGTCCCGACGTCAAGCCCGGTTTGGCGACCCGGTGACCGGCCGGGCATGAGGCACTAGCCCGGGCAGACCCAGTGCGAAAAAAAAAAAAAAAAAAAATCTTAGAAAAAAAAATGTTGTGTAGAAATGAATACAAACAACCTTTGGCCGAGGGTCACATCAGAATTCCTCACGGTACTGAAGATAAAAAAGGAAATAACCAAATCGTGCTAAGGCACCCCCCTTTAAAGTTTAAACCCCTTTAGCCCCTTCGTATGTGTGTGTGTGTGTGTGTGTGTGCGTGTCTGTAACACAAAATCAAAACAACAAAAGTTCTAGGGAGATATCCCGGGCGCCCGGGTCCCGACGTCACACCTGGTTTGGCGACCCGGTGACCGGCCGGGCATGACCCCGGGGCATTAGCCCGGCCAGTCCCAGCGCAAAAAACAAAAAAAACAAAAAAACAAAAAAAACAAAATCTGAAAAAAAAAATGTTGCGTAGAATTGCAATACAAACAACTTTAGGCCGAGGGTCACATCCGAATTCCTCACGGAACTGAAGATAAAAAAGGAAATAACCAAATCACGCTTGCAAGGAACCTGACTGTTCATCACTTGCTAGAGTGCATCAGATCACATGCATATACAATATTATGCACAGATTTCACAGATTGCAACCTGACTGTTCATCACTTGCTAGAGTGCATCAGATCACATGCATACACAGTATTATACACAGATTTCACAGATTGCAACGTCTCACACAAAGCTCAATAGTAGATGAATGAGAGCCAGGAAGCTCGACTCAATTATCATAACCAGATTAAGAGAGGAAATCGTGAGTCCAAAATGTATAGCGCCGAGCAGAGTCACAAGTCTTCTTCAATCAACATGAGTTCCAGGCCTGGCGCTCATCAGCGCCAGCTGCCAAACGTCAACAACAGCGCTCAACAGGTAAGTATCACCGTAGCTCACTCCTCCCCCTCTCGTCTGTTTTCTTCTCTCCCTCCCTCTATGTCTATAGTCCTGGTCAACTCACACTCACCTTGCATGCACACTCCCTATCACACGAGGATCTACTCTGAATACTACTCACTGGACTCTTCTACTAACTATCCCTACTAATGTTCTGATTGGCGCTGCCGCACCTATGGCTGCCTTTCTTCCAGCCAGCGCCCCACTTCACTTTCTCACACTTAGCGCTGCTCACGGCCTGGCGCAGCTCGCACACATCTGGCGCACAAGTGCCACAGCACTTCCACACCCTCATGCGAAACGAGCTTCTGTCAAAATGGAAGGCTGGCCAGTCCTTTATAGTGCTGGACAGGTCTGGCGAGGTCTGCTTTCGGTCTCCAAGTACATGGGACTCCAGCCCAGTACCTATTGTTGCAAAGTGTGTGTCCCAGTATCCTTTCCCATGGTCTGCTGCTGCTTTTGGACGTCAGCCTGTCTTTTGGACTTCTGGTCTGAATCAGGGCTGACCCGTGGGACTGTGACTGAACTGGAATTATAGCCTTTGACTAAATGCCGAACAGACACGACTTTTCGTCAAACAGACATGACTCTATCTCAGCCTTGAAGTCTGTGTTCAGCACCTGTTCGTCTAGGACCTGTCCGTGACTATTCAAAACGACTTGTCACTTCTTTCTGGATGCCACATATAACTCAGGAACTTGTCTTTTGGAATGTTGCTCGTGAAATTGAGTTCTGGCGGAGAGGGCCCTTTATGTTGGAATCACAAATGAGGGCCCCTTTTTAGGCCGAGGGTCACATCCGAATTCCTCACGGAACTGAAGATAAAAAAGGAAATAACCAAATCACTCTAAGCACCCCCCTTTAAACCCCTTTAGCCCCTTCAAAATTCAATTATACTCCCCTTCCACCCCCTTGACACCCAACACTCAAAAAAAGAAAAGAGCCCGGATTTGGGCTCCTCTCCGAGAGAGAGGAAAACCCCCACAGCCTTTCTTTTTTTTTCTTTCCCCCATGCCCGGGTATCCCGGGTGTCAGAACCCCCATGGGCGTCACGCCCCGGTGACCACGGTCATCAAAATCTTCGTAAAACTTGGCATAAGCTGGTCATCTGGACTGAACCAACGATATGCTTGAGAGAGATCGAAAGAAATAGCAGGGGTCTGAAATGAGGGGAACTGAAAAAGCCGGAGCATGGACCACAATGGGGGAAGAGAGATGGGGAAAGCAGGTGCAGACAGATATTGCCGCAGGACGCCGAAAGATGGAGAACGGGCCAAAGGGACAAGGGGGAGGCGCAGAAAGGATCAAAGCTTACCTCTTTCGCGTGGAGCTTTTCACTGCTCCTTCAACGAAAAAACACAGTGGTCCCACTCTTGGTGGCTTCCAACATCAAAACATCAATCTAGAGCAGCACACTGGTCATGTTTCTGAGCGGCCCTCTCTCTCTCTCTCTCTCTCTCTCTCTCTCTCTCAAAACATCAATCTAGAGCAGCACACTGGTCTTGTTTCTGAGCGGCCCTCTCTCTCTCTCTCT